CCCCCCCCCCCACATACACACGCCTCGCCTACAGCTACTCTGCTGGGCACCAGAGACCTTGCTGCAGCTGTGCAGGTGGTGCTTGAGGTGCTACTGGCCTTTTTCAGGTGACTTTTCCAGGAGGAGGGTACTTCCTCCAGCCTCCTGGCTCTACATTTGGAAGAACAGGGTAAGAGAAGATACCAGCAGGGCCTTCCCTGGGTCCAAGGGCCGCTACCGCCCACCTGTGCCTTGTTTCCACCTGGGAATGCCAAGTTGGCGCGGTGCTTAGGGGCAGTGCCAGCAAGACACCTGGGTGGGGGAGGAGGGGTAGCACTGAGCTGCTGACAGGGCGAGGCGAAGGGAGCTGGGGAGTCTGCCCGGGCCGTGGGCACGAACACCCCCTCTGCCAGGCAGCAAGACCGTGCCATGCCCTTTTGCAGAGAGAGATTGCCCCTGGTTTTTATGGGAATACTGGACAATTACAGATGCCTCAGGGACAATCAGAGTTTTTTAAATGACCTTTTCTATGTCAAATGTAACATTTTTTAAACAATAAAATTTGTTTTGCCAAAATTCATGCTTTCCTTCTTTCTGTGGGAGCTGGAGTGTGGCGGGCCGTGAGCCTTGTCACTGGAGGGAAGGTCTGGAGGGAGGGCCTTGTTCTAGATTTGGACCCACTGCAGATAGGGGCACATCTGAGCCAAGCAGCTGCATTCACCCCATGGCCGAGGTTCCCTGGGACTCCTGGGCGGTAGCAGTGGCAGAGATGACCTGATCTCATGGATCCCCCAAGTCTTCCTGGCAGCCCACAGGATGGGGAAGGACATCCCCCGAGGGAGTGAACTGTGGCTCCTGAGGGAGACACTGGGAGGGAGCATCTCCAAGCAGCAGGGCCAGGTGCCACAGGTGGTCTTGTCATGACCTCTGCCTCACGCTCCCTTCCAACCCCTCCAACCTGAGTCACTTTCCCAGGAACGTAAGGGTTGTGGACAGTCAAATAAAACTGCAGAACCACTGGGGGTACAAGAGCCAGAGCACCGTGCGCATCCAGAGGGGTGGGCTCCCCAGGGAGCCAGAGGCACAGGTGACAGACTCGCACTCAGAGCCCACAGGGGAGGAGGGAGATCCCAGGGCAGTGATGAGGGTTGGGGACCAGAGCCTGCAGTCCTGCCCCTGATTGTGCCTCCACCCCAGGAGCACATAGGGAAGCACTTCCCAAGGGAGAGAGCCCTGGGCTGGGGACAGATCAGTGTCTCCATGGCCGTTGGCGATGCTGTTCTCGTGGGAAATGGAGCCAGGGAGGCTCACTGCCTCCCAAGACTTGAGACTGTGAGGCTGCACTGATGGTCACTGGTACTTGTTCCCCCTTTGGGGAGCCTCCTTGGACTTGTGTTTTTTGGGGGGAGAGGGCTGGCTGGTCAGGACATCCAATGCCCGCAGCTGCAGGAATGGTTCAGAGGGGCCTATGGCCCATGTTGGTCACATCAGTGAATCTAAGAACATGGGCTGAGGCGGCTCCATTTCTGAGTGCCAACATGAGGGTGTGTCACCCTAGAGCCGCTGGCAGCCATCTGGGTGCCACAGGGAGCCTAAAAATGAGGTGACGTGCAGAGAGCAGAGCCCAAGGACGGCTGGTGCTGGAGCCGTCCCCAGGCCCAGAGTCTTGCCAACTGTTCATTTATAGGCACCGAAACTAGTTAAAACTGGGCCGTACCTTGTGATAGGAAACTCAGTCGGTGTTGGAGCGAGGAGCTTGGTTCGGTATCTCAGGAAGCCGAGAAGAAGCCCTGCAGGGACCTGAGAGGTGACTGGAACTAATCAGGAGGGCAGATTGCTCCTGGGCCAGGATTTCATTAGCCCAGAGCAGCGACACCGGTAGTTAGCCCAGTGCCCACAGCTCCTGCTGCCTTCCGATTGCTTAATTTGGACCATTTTCCTGATTGACCCAAGTTTTTGAAAAGCAAGGACAGATAGAAAGGCAGGAGGGGAGGGTCGTGAAAATAATAAAAGGAGTCCTTGGCGGGCAAGCTTCC